AAAATTCCTCCGCTAACGGGGGAAGAGGAAAAGAATAGCCCACTCGAAACGGGTACGCGTAAAATGCGCAGTACCCGGGACGATGAACATGGACCACATCGTACCCGGCCGGGACCAGGTCAACATGAGCAGGGATGTTGTACTTGACCCTAAGCTCAGAAAGATGGGTCGCCCCCATCTCAGATTTCACAGGCACAGGCTTGTCAGCAGGAGGCTTCGAGAAGTCCAACATGGCCTTGTCACTACGAGGGACAATCTCTTCTAATGTGGGAAAGGTATCATCTTCCGCAACAATGGCTTCCCCTTCATCACGAACGGGTATGGCCACCGATATCGGAGGCGGACTGAGAATCTCCTCAGAATTCGAAGATGCACTGGCCATTTGTATAAACTATGCAGGAGCAAAGGAATCGAAAGTGTAGAAAAAATGGTAATGATGGAAGTTGCAGGAAAAATGAACACAAGAAGAAGGAGAAGAAGCAATGGGCAAAATCGAAGAATCAGAGAGGGTAAAAAATTTCTCCAAAGGTTCTCCCAACTTCCTATTTATACAAAATCACGGCGTTCAAATCGGTGCAATCAACCGTCAAACGCACCAGAATTGAAATGACAGAGGCTCAAGGAACGATGCAACGCATCAGGAAAACGCGTAATGATGACGCATGTAGCTGTGACGTCATACTGAACCTGCCTCACTAACTGCAGCTCTCGGAGCGACACGTCATCACCTCGGCAACGATCACCATTATTCGACCTCCACGTTCGAATTTATCAAGAATTGCTATTGATGAAGTCCGCTCATTGAGGCCGACCAAAAAGCGACCTCGATAAGCGGAGGGACTAACTGTATGGGTCAAAATCCAGCTAAGGAAATTCGGCGTGAAGAGGTGACCAAGTGTGAGAACTGTGTCTCATCATGGGAGACTAGCCCGAGGTTGACCCGGGCTTAACATTATGGAGCCACCGAGTAAGCCCCTAAGGCCAAGGACGAGCAGCAGGAGAAGGAATAACGGCTAGTATAACTTTGAAACTTTCAAAGGGAATATTCTGTTGAATATTCCCTGTATTGTACTTTTTTAGGGGTTTTGGAAATATCTCATATAAATAGTAGAAGTGAGAAGGCAAAAGGCATGTAAAAGAGATTCAGATAAGCACTCTAATGAAAAGTTGACTCTAGAGGGAGATAATCCAAGATATTACCTTTCCATAAGGATACGACTTGCTGTTCATTCCACTTTTTCTCTCGCATCAGATCTGAAAAAATCTCGTATATTCCAATATCCGTTTGTCTTACATCATTGTCAGATAAGAAAATCATCCACCTCACTCAACATTTGGGTGAATCATTCTCTCTATTTACATTTATTGTCATTTAATATAATTATTGCTCATCATTATTCCTCCATTCATTCTTGACAGCATCATTTAATACATATTTGTATTAAGTTGGCTCAAACGATTATTCTGTATAATTTATATTGATACTTGCTAGATCTAGAACTTATTATATTCAACTAGGATTTACCCATCACCTTTTTTTAATTAGTTTAACAAAAGGTTTCATTCTTTTTAGTCAAACAAATATAACAGTTGGTGGGACCTCAGGACCGAAATCATCGAGTAAATGCTATGGAAAAGTATCTTCCATATCTAGCTGCATTCCTTTGAAGGAAAAAACATATTCTCAGATTGTAACATATCTACTTACTAGAAATCTCCTACTCACTAAATCATATAACTTGTAACCTTTATGTGTCTCTGAATACCCAATCAAGACTGTTTTCCTTCCCCTGCTGTCAAACTTATCTCCTTTCGACAAATTGCTAGCAAAAAACAGACAACCAAACATCTTAAGATGATCAATCTAGCTGGCTTCCTACAGCGAATCCTCACAATGAGATTTTCCTCCCAAGACAAATGAGGGCTACTTGTTGATCAAGTATATTGTTTTCATACAATCTTCCCATAAGCTATTTGGTATTGAGCTTTGGAATTTCATGCCCTAGCAATCTCAAAAATGTGCCTATGCTTCCTTACTATCATCCCATTTTGTTGACGGGTTTAGGAATATCTACTTTAGTTCACAATTACCAAAGAAGCCTTTAATTCTTTACAACTAGAATTAGAAAACATATACTGATGTGTAACTAAACTTACCAAATGGTGTCATTTTGTTTATCCGATGTAAATAAAATAATGGCGTAGAGGAATGGTGAGATTGAAGTTATTTGGTGAGCGGAAACTTAGGCCTCGCTTGTCCATAATTTTTTCTTTTTCAATCAAAATTTTCAGATTTTTTTTTTCTCCACTCACAAAAATGAAATATTTTTTCAAGAGAAATGCACGTACAATTACTACTTTTTTCAAAAATTGTAATTTTTCAGAAATTACAAACATAATTTTAAATTTCAAATACCATTATTCAACTTAACTCCAAATACTACTTTTTCCAAAAATTGTATATGTCCAAGTGCCTGCTTAGTATGCAGCTGCAGGACGCACCTCCTTTTAGTAAGATACATTACTTGCTAGTGTTTCTTATCGAAACTCTATAATAACAATACTTAGTAGGCGTTTGGACATGAATTCCAAAATAAATTTTCAAATTTAGAATTTTACTAAAATTTGAATTGAAGATGAAGTTGTGTTTGGTTATAATTTTTGGAATTGGTCATTCGTTTGATATTCTATTTGATCTTTTGGCTTTCCAATTCTAACATTTTTCACTTCTTCTTAACATATTTTATTTTCTTGATTTAAAACTCTTTATCTTCCTCGATTTCTGTCATCTTATCGTTTGGCCTCGCATGTCACTTTATTAATAGTATTGTGAATTTTTTTGTCTAGGTGAAGGTGTTGTTTGAAGAAAATATTATATTTTGGACGATGAGAGTACACAGACGAGGCTTATCTACATTCTGATGAAAATCTTGTAGACTATATAAGATAAATATTTTTAACATATTTTTTACTCTTCTATGCAATATATACATAGCTATTCCAATTTCTAATTTGACATATATTAGTTTGTAAGTTTTCTATGAAAACAGAAGTACATCAAGCCTAGAATAGTTGTCTAGTTGAAAAAAAAATTATAGCACATTTGTGTGTTGTGAATTTCTTTTTTTAGTAGTACGTGAATATGTACTTCACTTACCTTAATCCTTTTTTTGTGTTTTTGAAATTGCAAGATGTAAGCGTATATAACCAATAAAAAGTTGATATTTTTGCTTTCGTTTTGTATTTAGTTTCTTTAGTTTTCATTTTTTGTTTCTTCAATTTGAATAAGAGAACAATACATACCTATATTTAAAAGTGAAAAAGTTTCTTAACAATTCTTTTAATTTTTATTTTAGAAAAGAGGTTTGATAATGAAATATGCAATAAAATATTCTAATTTCAGTAAAAATATTATTTAATCAATATAAAAGAATTAAAAATTATATGCATATACAAGAAAAAATTTGTCTATTCTATCTCTCCTAAGTTTATAAAAATATTATTTCTAATTTATTCTTTATAACTGCGAGAAGCGCCTTCAAACTCACTAGTTACGAAGAATAAACGAAAAGTTTAAGTTACATTGCTTTTATATAGGGATAATTTCACTTAAGTACAACTCACACACCTGACTTGCAACATAATAGCCTAGATATCACATTGCAAATCTATAGCCCAAAAATAATAGGCTAATTCCCGAAAAAACAACTTATTTCACACAATCAATATATTATCTGAAGGTAAGAAATTCAAACACCTTTATGTGCAATTGCTGAAGCAATCCAACAGGATAAAAGAAAAATAAAAAATTGATAAATGAATTGTAGAATTCCTCCAACGCGTACAAATTTGTTTCATATAGCACATATACGAAAAAGAAGAAGAGAAGGAAGTGTCAAACTTCTATAGAGACCTCTTAAACGCTAACAATGTATATACATCCTTATAAACTGAAAAAATATATATTTATACAACATTATACACAAATCTACACATTTATACACAATTATACAATACTGTATAACTTGTATAAACATGTATAATAGTGTATAAGAGGTGTCTGTATACCTATATACACAATTATACACTATTATAAAGTGTCAATACAACCTGCTACATAGTTATGATTTTCCAGAACTTCAAACTTCAGAATCTTCCAAAATTACCAGAACTTCAAACTTCAAAATCCTCCAAAATTAGTGGTTGTTTGTTGGTGCAAATCAAGTTTGAGAGCTATTTATTTTCAGATCTGTGTGTATTTTCATGTTTCTTTCAAAAATCTTCTTCGTTCTTCTGCTTGCCACCATGGACGACGGGGTCTTTCTTCGAGCCATTAATGGCAGAATTGCGTAGGGGGTAAAGGAGGGAAATAGCGGGGGCTAGGTTAAGAGAGGATGAGGGATCTATGTGGGTTAGAGAGAAAGGAGTGAGAGGCGGTGAGAGAGAGAAGGGAACGAAGAAAGAAGAAAATAATAAAAACCCTAAAAGTATATCTTTAATAGTGGGCTAAAGGCTGAAAAGTTTCTTTCAAGTTATGTACAACATGGGCTATATAGGGTAAGAGCATTAAATGTGGGTCATTTTCGATTGGGCTATTGACATGAGCTGTAATTCTTTCTTTTATATATAAAAAATTGCCTTCCTTTTAGAAATTAACGGACTAAAAATATATTCACACAAAAAACAATGTCTCGTCTGCACACTCTAATAACTCAACCATTTCATCAACTTGTACTCATCTATATATTCTTTTCTTTCCCATGATAAGATAAAAGACAAAAGACAAAGAAGGCAAGCAGAGGGTGGTAGCAGGAAGGAAGAGAACGTGTCCAAAGACGTAAAAAAATGTCTTGCAAGATTTCCGAATGGCTTCGAACGTGTCAACATGCAGCTACGTGTATTCTTTTTCTTCAGCTGGCGCCTCCATTGCTACTCAATTTCCCAGGCCATATAAATGTGCCTTAATTAATTCCTTCTTATCAAATTGGATATTTCATAAATCAAGACTGAAAACCAAATATAGGTGAAGAAGAGGAGGAGGAAAATGGCTCAGATGACAATAGACCCACAAAATGAGAAAATAGAACATTTTGAGCTGTTGAGTGGACACAAGATTCCTGCTATTGGTTTGGGCACATGGAGAGCTGAAAATGCAAAGGACTCTGTTTATACTGCTATCGTTGAGGTACTCTCTCTACTCCACCCCTTTTTGGTTTTCTTAATTTGTTCTGTATACATATTCTTTCTGTCCATCTGTATTCCAGTTTTTTGGTGATTTTTATATAACTTAACTGCCTGTTTGGATTGTTGTTTCTTCGTATCGTTATTATGTATCATTCAGTATCGTATTGTATTCTGTTCTTGACAGAGGCGGATCTAGGATTTAAAGGTGGCGGCTGCCATAATTTCTTTTAGTGTACACCTTATAATAACTACTGAGTAATATATAGTTTGTTCGGAACGTTTGTCCGGTTCTTTTTTTTAGTTTATTTGGGTAATTTAATAAGCACTTTATTGCAAATATAAAAATTACATCAATTATCCTGGCCCTACTTAGAATTTCATTGGGTATATATGTTATTATTGTCGTACAAAAATTACATCTCAGACATTAAGAAGCAAATATAATTAATATTTTAAAGAAGGAATCACACTTTTATTATTAATAATACAAGTAAAATAAATATTTTCATTAGGGAACTACATTTTTTTGTATGCTAAAAATAAATTTGCACAAGTAAAATAAAATCTTTAATAAGGGAACTCCACCGATCTGAATAAGAAAAATAAAAATAAAAACATCTTCAATAGATAAATTATACCCCATAAGTAAATGCAGAATTAGATAAACTACAAGATCTCAAAACTTAAAATCATAAATTCAATGCTCGCGAAATATTCATCATAATTTATTACTATAAGAGATTTAAATTGTATTTAACAATCATAGAATAACACAAATTTTTATGTTATAATAAAAAAAGAAATTATAAATTAATTTTCATCTCAATCTAAATATCAAGACCCAAGTTTTTTTATTTTGAAAGAAGAAAACTAAAAGATTTGAGATTAAGAGAAATGCTTATATTATGAAATTTTTAAATTTTGGAGGCTCGTTGTCACAACCCGGATTTCCCACCCTCGGGAGTCGTGATGGCGCCTACTAATGTGAGCTAGGCAAGCCAATTACTGAACAGATTACCTTCATCCATTTTTATACCTTTTTAGCATTTATAAAGCAATAATGTGAAAACAGCGGAAATTTCAATAAGCGGAAGAAATGTAGTGAAATATCTGAAATATGAATCTAATACAACTATTTAAGCCTTAGTCACCCAGAACTGGTGTCACAGTACCACAGACGATCTAAGAGTGCTAAATACAAAGTCTGAAAATAAAAGATACACTGTTTCTGGATCAAAGAAATGAAACAGGAAGTAAAGGATAAAGGAGACGCCAGGGCCTGCGAACGTCTGCAGGTCTACGTTGGATCTCCGCGTGGACTGAAGGTAGCCACCAATCTACGGTCCAAAGGCTGCTCCGGGATCTGCACATAGTGCAAAGTGTAGTATCAGCACAACCGACCCCATGTGCTGGTAAGTCCCTAGCCTAACCTCGGCGAAGTAGTGATAAGGCTAGGACCAGACTACCAAACAAACCTGTGCAATTCAACTATATACAACGGAAAAGAGGTACAAAATTAAACAGTCAAGTATGGGAGGGGTAGCATGCCGCGGGGAGATATCAATTCAGAATAGAAAGACAATAGGTAAACGGAAGAAACAATATATCTCGGATATCAATAGAGAACCAGAAAAACAATAAGTGCACGGCATCACCCTTCGTGCTTTTACTCTCGTCCTCACCAAAGCAATCAAGTAATGGAAACGTGCACGGCATCACCATTCGTTCTTTTACTCTCGTCCTCACCATATAATCAATATAATCGGCACGGAATGGTATATCGTACGGCACGGCATCACCCTTCGTGCTTTAACACTCTCTTACCAAAACAATGCACGGCATCACCCTTCGTGCTTTAACTCTCTTCCTCACCCGAACAACAATCACATACAATAAGGCAAGGAAATGAATGAAATTTGCAATAAGAATCCCAGCAAGGGAACAATAATTCAACAACAAGTCCCGGCAGGGACAACCTCAAAACAACAACAACAATATCCCGGCAAGGGAGTCAATGTAATGATTCTTTTCTCTTCTTTCACCTTTGTTTCACAATTCACTTCACAACTCGAGCCAATGCTCCAAAAGGTTTCAATTACCGCTCATACTTTCACAATTCGTTATACAACTTGAGCCAACGCTCCTCAATAATCAAATATCACAATTACTTCCACGAACCTTGCCCAAAAATAAAAAATCATCACCAAGATATGAATAATACGATGAGGTCATAAAAATCACATTAAGAGACTCATGGGCATGCTAGACACCAACGTATAGATACTCGTCACCATGCCTATACGTCGTACTCAACAATTACCACATAGCAAATAGGACTCGACTCCTAATCCCTCAAGCTAAGGTTAGACCAAACACTTACCTCGATACCACGAACACAATTCACGTCTCAATTATCGCTTTACCCGTTGATTCCACCACCAATTTGCTCGTATCTAGCCACAAGTTACTTAATTACATCAATAAACGTTAAATGAATCAATTCTAATGCATGAAAATGAGTTTCCTAAAGTTTTACCCAAAAAGTCAAAATCGCCCCCGGGCCCACATGGTCAAAACCCGAGGTTCGAACCAAAACCCGATTACCCATTCCCCTACAAACTCAAATATATAATTTATTTTGAAATCGGACCTCAAATCGAGGTCCAAATCCCCATTTTCTTGAAAAACCTAGGTTCTACCCAAAACACTTAATTTCCTCATGAAAATCATTGATTTGGAGTTGAAATCATGTTAAAAGATGTTAATGATTGAAGGAATAGAGTTAAAAGTGACTTACAATCGATTTGGAAGAAGATTTGTTCTTGAAAAATCGCCCAGGGAGTTTGTGTTTTGAAAAGATGTGAAAAATGGTTGATTTTCGGCTAAGTATAAAAATTTGCAGGTTGCAGTTATGGGAAATGCGAATTGCTAACCCCGAACTCTGCTATGTTGGGAATTGCGAAAAGCCTCTCGCATTTGCGAGTTGGGAATGCGACTACTGTGTCGCAATTGCGACTGAAGGCTGGAACTGGGGAAATCGCATTTGCGATTAAAACCTCGCAATTGCGAGATGGTCTGGCCTGGGCTGTTTTTGCAATTGCGACATAGTCCTCGCATTTGCGATACCGCATTTGCAAGCCAGGCTTCGCAAATGCGAAGCTTGCAGGCCTGAACACACCAGCTAAAAACCTGCAATTTTCCAAGTCTAAAATCCACTCCGTGGCCTATCCAAAACTCACCCGAGCCCTCGGGGCTCCAAACCAAACATGCACACCAACCTAAAAACATCATACGGATTCGCTCGTGCATTCAAATCACTAAAATAACATCAACAACTATAAATTTAGCATCAAAGTCATGAAATTTCCTTAAGAACTTCAAATTTCCAGTTTTCTCAAAAATGATCTGTTTCACGTCGTTTCAAGTCCGTTTCTTACCAAATCTCACAGACTTATCTTAAATCACATATAAGACCTGTACCGGGCGCCGAAACCAAAATACGGGCCCGATACCTTCAAGTTTAAATCACAATTCATTTCCAAATCTCATAAAAAATTTCAGAAAATAATTTTCTTTAAAAATTCATTTCTCGGGCTTGGGACCTCGGAATTCGATTTCGGGCATACGCCCAAGTCCGATATTTTTCTACGGACCCTCCGTGACTATCAAATCATGGGTCCGGGTCCGTTTACCCGAAATGTTGACCGAAGTCAACTTAATTCATTTTAAGGCTAAATTTTATCGTTTTTCACAGATTTTCACATATAGATTTTTCGGCCAAATCTTTCATTTTGAACACTTGCTGTAGACCTGCCTTAGTGTCTTCAATTAGCTTTAGGCTATCTCCAGTTATAAGCATGTCATCAACATAGACTAAAACTATAGTGATACCATCTGAAGTCTTCTTAAAGAACAAGGAGTGATCATAGTGACTCTGATGAAAGCGAGCTTTCAGCAATGCCTCAGTTAGCTTGGCATTCCATTACCTTGGTGTTTGTTTCAATCCATACAAGGATTTAGTAAGTCTACATATTGGTTTTGTCTCCCTCTGACTGTTAAATCCTTGAGGCAAATCCATGTATATTTCATCATGTAGATCCCCTTGAAGGAATGCATTATATACATCCATTTGATGTATATGCCACTGTTTAGCAACAACTATTGCTAGAACATTTCTTATAGTTATCATTTTTACCACGGGTGAAAAAAGTTTCTTGGTAATCAATTCCTTCTTTTTGGCTAAATCCTTTTGCAACCAATCTTGCTTTAAATCTTTCAATTTTTCATGTAGCTTTATATTTTATTTTGTAAATCTACTTGCACCCTATAGGTGATTTCCCTTCGGGCAGTGAAACTATATCCCAAGTGTGATTGTTTTCTGAAGCTTCAATCTCAACCTTCATAGCATCTATCTATCTAGGATCTTTGATAGCTTCATGATAGTTTGTAGGTTCAGAAACAGAAGAAGATGCAGCAATAAAGGATTGATAGGTAGGAGAAATGTTTTCATATGATATGAATTTAGATAAGGCATAGGGATTTCCTGATGAATATTTAAAGATATAAAGTCTTTCATCCAGAGTGGTGGTCTATTGTCTCTGCTTGGTTTTCTTAAAACCTCTTCTATTGAATTTTGCTGACCGGATGATTGAGCATGAATAGTACTTGAAGATAAAATACTTGAGGGTAAAGTATCAGTTTCTACCTCAATTGATGTGTGTTCTTTCAAGGCTCAAGAAGTAGTGCATTGTGTATGATCAGCTGGTAGGCTTCAACTTTGTTAATTTGCATCTTCTGTGGTGTTGTGAATATCCTCAACTTCATTTGTTTGAAAGTCAGTATGACTTGGTTCAATCATTTCAGTAGTGAATTGATTGACTGTATCATCTGATATTGGTTGAAGATTGTTGTTAATCATGAAGATAGGTAAACATTTATTTTGATTGAGAGTTTTGAATAGAAAAGTGTCTTCTTTGAAAATAACATCTCTATTGACAAAGAA